TTTTTAACCATTTTTAAGTGTACAGCCCTATGGCATTAAGTACATTCACACTGTCGTTCAACCATTACCACCAGCCACCTCCAGAAATTTTCATTTTCCCAACCTGAAGTTCTGTACTTATTAAATAACAACTCCTGGTTTCTCTCTCCTCCATTCCCTGGCAACTACCATTCTGCTTTCTGTCTCTCTGAGTTTGACTATTCTAGGTACCTGATATAAGTGGAATCATACAGTACTTGTTCTTTTGTAACTGGCTTTTTTTCTCTTAGCACAATGTCTTCAAGGTTAAACTGTGTTATAGCATGTATCAGAATTTCCTTCTTTTTTTTTGAGAAGGAGTTTTGCTCTTGTCGCCCAGGCCGGAGTGCAATGGCATGATCTCGGCTCATTGCAACCTCCGCCTCCCAGGTTCAAGCGATTCTCCTGCCTCAGCCTCCTGAGTAGCTGGGATTACAGGAGCGCACCATCACGTCTGGCTAATTTTTGTATTTTTAGTAGAGATGGGGTTTCACCATGTTGGCTAGCCTGGTCTTGAACTCCTGACCTCAAGTGATCTGCCTGTCTTGGCCTCCCAAAGTGTTGGGATAACAGGCGTGAGCCACTGTGCTGGGCCTTGAATTTCCTTCATTTTTAAGGCTGAATATTCCATTGTACCACATTTTGTTTATCCATTCATCCATCAGTGGACACTTGGGTTGCTGCCACCTTTTAACAACGGTGAGTAACACTGTTCTGAACATGCATGTCCAAGTCTCTGCTTTCAGTTCTTTTGGCTACATACACATACGTGAACTTGCTAGATCATACGGCAATTCTATGTTTAATTTTTTGAGGAACGGCCAAATAGTTTCCCACAATCTTGTAAAAATCATTTTGTTGGTAGTATAATAATTCATTTGTCTCTATACCCGAATTTACTAAGCATTCTGGAATGTTTGCTTCCTAAGTTTTCTTTTTTCCAATTGGATGGGAATTAGTTTTAATTTAGACAATGCTCCAGGTTTTTGCCCCATTTTAAAAGTACCTCATAAACATATATTATTCCTTCTAACAGCTAATAATTCACAGGTTTTTTTTGTTTGTTTGTTTAGTGTTACCTCACAATTATCCCTTATCTAAGAAGTGCCCTATCCATGGGAGTGAGTACCCTCTAGCTAGACCTATGCTTTCCAATATGGTAGCCACTAGCCACATACTTAAACATGAGTCAATTAAAGTAAAATTAAATTGGAAATTATCTTCCTCAGCTGCCCTAGCCATATTTCAAGTGCACAATAGCCACACAAGGCTAGTGCTACTGAATTGGGCAGCACAGATTCAGAACATTTCCATGACCCCAGAAAGTTCTATGGTGACTACTGCTCTAGCCTATTTTTGACTCGGACCTCTTGGCCATGGCTGAATTAATTTCTATAAGCTACTACCAAAAACTATTTAGTCCTTGGGGACAGTCTGATGATAACAACATTTACAGGAGAACACCAGAAACTTTAGATTATGAAATATCTCTTCCAATGATTGGAGTACTCCTGACCATGATTTCATATCAGTCTTTTCAGAACCAAATTAGTGGTCTTCAGTTTCTTGGTGATGGTCACCTAATCCAAGTGGGGTCAATGAAATTCCTTATTTCTTCCCTTGGGAATTTGGACCTGGCAAGGAAGAGGTCTTCATTCAGGTCCTCTAGTTGTCTAGAACTATAAAACCAAAAGTAATAGATTCCACTAGATAAAACGGAGAATTGGGTAAAGCAATAGAAAAATTAAACAGATAAGCAGAGATTACATTGCCTCTTAGGTTTTCTATTTTGGTTCAAGTCCCTCCCTTGGACTCAGCTACATATCTGACTTTTGAACCACATGAGAAAAACCTGTATCGTAATAATGAATTATTCTTTTATGCTTAAACTAGCTCAAATTGGCTGGTTATACTGGCATTCAGAATCCTAACATACATACATACACACACACACACACAGACAGACACACACACACATGGGTATTGTTTTCACACTCTGTAAATATGTAGTTGTGTATGAATTTTGTATATAGTCATTGCACTGGATCCCCGGGCTCCCCTCTAACCCTTCTCTTGCTTTATCGCCTTCTCATATTAAGACTGTGTTTAGGCTGGGTGAGGTGGCTTACACCTGTAATCCCAGCACTTCGGGAGGCCGAGGAGGGTGAATCACCGGAGGTCAGGAGTTTCAGATCAGCCTGGCCAACATGGTGAAACCCTGTCTCTACTAAAAATACAAAAATTAGCCGGGCGTGATGTCAGTTGCCTGTAGTCCTAGCTACGCCGGAGGCTAAGGCAGGAGAATCGCTTGAACCCGGAAGACGGAGGTTACAGTGAGCCGAGATCGTGTCATTGCACTCCAGCCTGGGTGACAAGAGCAAAACTCTGTCTCAAAAAACCAAAACAACAACAAAAAACAAAACAAAACAAAAACGCTGGGCACGGCTGTAATCCCAGCACTTTGGGAGGCCAAAGCAGGGGGATCACAAGGTCAGGAGATCAAGACCATCCTGGCCAACATGGTGAAACCCTGTCGCTACTAAAAATACAAAAATTAGCTGGGTGTGGTGGCACAAGCCTGTAATCCCAGCTACTCGGGAGGCTGAGGCATGAGAATCGCTTGAACCCAGAAGGCGGAGGTTGCAGTGAGCCAAGATCGCGCCGCTGCACTCCAGCCTGGGCGACAGAGAGAGACTCCATCTCAAAAAAAAAAAAAAAACCCATTGTGTTTGGGTTGCTCTCTGGATCTTACCCCCCTGCTTCCCCTGATCAAACTATGCCCTCTGTTACCATCCTGAATGTGGAAGCTTTATTAAATCAAATTGTGAAGTATGTTAACCACTGATTTTATCCTTTAGCTTGTATTGCATTTTAATTTCTCAGTCCTAAGTAATTCCATCAACATTCATTTCATGTATGACCGAATAAATAATCCCTCGCAGGCCCAAAGCAGCGCCTTTTTTTTTTTTCTTTCTTTTCTTTTTGTTTCTCTTTTTGAGACAGAGCTTCACTCTTGTTGCCCAGGCTGGAGTGCAGTCGCGCGATCTCGGCAGGCTGCAATCTCTGCCTCCCAGGTTCAAGCGAATCTCCTGCCTCAGCCTCCTGAGTAGCTGAGACTACAGGCGCGTGCCACCACGCCTGGCTTTTTTTTTTTTTTTTTTTTGTATTTTTAGCACAGACGGGGTTTCACTGTTTTCCAGGCTGGTCTTGAACTCCTAACCTCGGGTGATCCACCTGCCTTGGCCTCCCAAAGTACTGGGATTACAGGCGAGAGCCACCACACCCGGCTTCAAAGCAGTGACTTTTGATAGTGAGAACCTGGCACGCGCAGAACTGAGTGCAGTACTTTCTCAAGCCACAGAAAATGCTCCTTTAGACGGAGTGATGAGGAGACCTCTTCCAGGAAGACTGAAGGAGGAGGAGTCAACTATGGAAAGGACAAAAGCAACAGCACCCTGTGGGAAGAGACACAATCGTCCTACCTAGGAAAACACTGCTTGTTGTCAAGTAACAGAAAGGCCAGTGTGGCAGGAGGAGAGCCAGGGAGCAAGGGAAGGAGATATGAGCTGCGGCAGGCTGGGCTGGGCCTTCAGGCCATGGTGAGAAGTTATGAGGATATCAGATGGGCAAAGGGACTTAAGTAAGGGAGTGACCTGATCTGATTTATCTAAGAAAAACATCCCTTGGCTACTGTCTAGAAATGTCAGGAAGACAAGCAAGGGACCAGTTAGGAGGCTACTGCAAGTGTCGGTAAAAGATCATGGCTAGGCCTGAAGATGGGAGGCGGTGGAGAAATCTGTGACAGAATTTGAGATTTTGAAAGTAAAAATAAAAGCACTTAGTGAGTTATCCCTGTTAAATTCTTAGTAGCCAGCCCCTATACTAAAGCTGCCAATGAAGTAGAGTGAAGGCTCTGAAACCTCAAGAAGGGCCTTACTTTCTCAGTTTCACGGAGTTGTGGGCATAGGTCTTAGGAACTACCTGGATTCCTAAACTCTCCAAAAGTACGATTCTGCCCTCATGTTCCTCTCTCCGAGTGAATTTGGGAGTGATTGTTGAAAAATGACTTTCAACAAGAGGACAGCAATGTTCAGGGTTCCACGATACATCCATGTCTTTTAACATCAATAAATATTTTTAAATTGGTACCTTATTTTGCGCTGCACGAGAGAGAAGGCTTTTGACTAGCAGCATCTCCTAATCCATCTAAGAAATACTGTATTTACCGTTACTCCAAGTATCCTAGGGCAAAATTCCTTTAGAACAATTCATCTTCCGAAACAGACGGGTTCCCTTTTCACCTATTCAAGTGTTCTGCATTCTAGGGTCCCCTTCCCGCCTTGCAGACAAATGCACTCATTGTGCCACTCCAGTCCCTGGATCCTATGCAGCCAGCATTTCCTGCAAGGAGCTGCTGCATGCCTGCTTCCCTCGCCGCCTGCCCCAACCCGGATCCAACATTTTGGTTTCTAATGTTCCCTCCCTGTGCAATTAAAACGCTTGAGTTCAGTCACCAAATACGTGACCAGGAACTTTTTCTTGGCGGGGGCTGCGGATATTTAGGGCACTGTCCAGTAAAGTTCTGAAAAGCAACGACACCCTGCCGCTTGTGCAAAAGGACCAATCCACCGGGAAACAAGGGAAATGCGCACATTTCCTAAACTTGCCGCTTCTTGGGCACGTTTAGGTTTTTAGAGCCGCGCTTTGGAGCTGCCTCCTCCCGCGGTACAAACCCGCCGCGGCGTTGCCCGAGATGCCGCAGCGCTCGCTCCCGCGTCCGCTGGGCGCGGGGAAGGGGCGAGGCGCGGGCGGCCCACGGGGGCAAGGCGAACGCAGCGGAGCCTAGCCGGGCCTCCGGGCGGCGACGCTCTGGCCCCAGCCCGCTCGATGGTTTCCGCGCGGCCGCCGGGACTCGCACGGTCCAGTCGCCAGGGGGCGCGCTGGCCGGCGTCGCGGATCCCCGAGCTGCGCGGCCCGACTCGAGTCCGCCATATTGGATGCCGCAGCCGCTGCTGCCAGCGCTTCCTCCTCTGTCTTCGCCGAACGGGGCTGGTTCCTGCGGCCCGAGCGGCAGGGAGGTGAAACAGGAGCCCGTCGGAGGAAGGGGAAGAAGGGGGTGGAGAGTGTAGGGGACGGGGCTAGAGGGAGGGGGACCGAGACGGAGCGCGGCGGAGAAGAGAAGGCGCCGCGGCCCAGCCCCTCCCCCCGTCCGCCGCCGACCCGCCCCGGCAGCGCCTCTGTTCCCTAGAACGGCGCTCCCCCCCGCCCTAGCGGCCATGCCGGGGCCGCGCTGCCGCTGAGGGAGCCCTTCCCCGCCAGCGCGTGCCCTTCCACTCCGCCCCGAGGTCGCAGCGGCCCGCTCTCCCGCCAGCGCCCCCTCCTCGCGGCCACGCAGCAGCCCGCGTCTCGCTCTCCCCACCCAGTGCAGTGGCCGCCGCCTCTTCCGCCGCCGGGCTCGGGGTCTCCGCAGCGACAACATGGAGGCCGTGAAGACCTTCAATAGCGAGGTTCGTATGGCAGCCCGGCTCCCCTGCTCCTGCCCGCACTGCCCCCACCCCGTGTCGTGGCCGGGGCCCGGAGGGTGGGCGCGGGCCTGCGGGTTTTTTAAGGGTGGGGTGAGCGGTGGCCTAGCAGTGCCCGTGGGGGAGGGGTGTTTCTCCTCTGGGTGCCCCTCCCCCGGGTCCGGGAGGAGGGTTGGGGGAGGGCCGCCCTGGGGCGGAGGGAGGTTCTGGCGTCTCCGGCGCCCTATGGAATGGCTGCGGGCTTGGAGGGAAAGACCCGGTTGGGCCCTCCCCCGGAGACTCCCGACAGGTCCCTCGAGGTCAGTTCCTCCGAGGCCTGGCCCGCCCACCTCCTTCCTGGGCCTTTGAGGATTTAAGTGGACGCTGGACATCACTCTCTAGACCTTCCCGGGTCCTCATTGAGGCTGACACCGATTGGGGGCGGTGGGGGAAATGAACCTACGGGGTGTTGATCTGTGGTCACGTTACACGTAGTGTTTATAATTGAGACATTGTTGACTAGGTAACCTGCCAGCTAGGGACTTGAGCTAATTGGATGATTTGTAGACAGGCAAAGGTTATTCTGCGGTATCTTCTATTTTTACTCCCTCCTCTTCTAATCCATCACGACATAAAGACAAATGGTAGGGAGAGATCTGTGCATCGAGAGATGGAAGATTCTGGGGGAAACATTTCTCGCTGGCTCATTCACGTGTCAAACGAGATTTTAAAAAGCATATTCCAGTTTTCACAGTGTAGTTGAATTTACTAGTCTGGAAGAAGACAGGTTTTGATAAGATGTATTCAGTTTCTTTTTAAACTCCGACTTCAGTATGCCTTAATGTAAACATTAAACATAGCAAGTACACATCTGCACAGTCAGCATTAGTACCCCTACCCGTAAGCCTTAGAAAGTGTAATTATGGCCGGGAACAGTGGCTCACGGCTGTAATCCCAGCACTTTGGGAGGCCGAGGCAGGCCAGTCACAAGGTCAGGAGTTCAAGACCAGCCTGGCTAACATGGTGAAACCCTGTCTCTACTAAAAACAAAAAATTAGCTGGGCGTAGTGGCGGGTGCCTGTAATCCCAGTTACTTAGGAGGCTGAGGCAGGAGAATCGCTTGAACCTGGGAAGCGGAGGTTGCAGTGAGCCCAGATCGGCGCCACTGCAATCCAGCCCGGTGACAGAGTGAGACTCTGTCTACAAAGCAAAAAAAAAAAAAAAGAAAAAATGTAATTATGCTGCTAACTAAATTAGTATAAATTTTACGAACTCTTGAAATGTTAATACTTTATTAAATACTATGATTGTTAAAGAGTATCTTTAATATTTACGTCTTAAAATACTAGGCTTTTTGTTGTGGCGGCACATATAGGACAGTACTTTTAAATGCCGTTGCATAATTTTATGTTGTTTCAATTTCTTTAAAAAGAAAAACAGTATTTGGAAATCTTAGCAGAGAGGCTAAACGGTATATAATATTTGGGCTATTTTAGAAAACGGTGATATATAACTTTTTTTAGAAAGCATTTTCTTTTTTAATACATTTTTTATTTTTAATATTGATAAATTAGAGCAATACACTTGGGAATCTTTTTTTTTTTTTTTTTGAGGAGGACTCTCGCTCTTGTTACCCACGCTGGAGTGGCGTGATCTCAGCTCACTGTAGCCTCCACCTCCCAGTTTCAAGCGATTCTCCTGCCTCAGCCTCCCGAGTAGCTGCGATTACAGGCGTGCATCACCACGCCCGACTAATTTTTGTATTTTTGCTAGAGACAGGGTTTCACCATATTGGCCAGGCTGTTCTCAAATTCCTGACCTCAAGTGATCGGCCCGCCTCGTCCTCCCCAAGTGCTGGGATTATGGGCGTGAGCCCCCGTGCCTGGCGTTTCAGTTTTTTTCATAGCTATCTTTCTTTTTTTGAGAAGGAGTCTCGTTCTGTCACCCAGGCTGGAGTGCACTGGTGTGATCTTGGCTCACCGCAGCATTTGCCTCCCGGGCCCAAGGGGTCCTCCTCTCACCTCAGCCCCCCAAGTAGCTGAGATTACAGGCCAGAGCCACCACACCCACCGATTTTATTTTTTATAGAGAGGAGGACTTGTTATGTTGCCCAGGCTGGTCTTGAACTCCTGGGCCCAAGCGATCCTTTCACCTTGGCTTCCCAAAGTGCTGGGATGACAGATGTGAGCCACCACGCCTGAGGTGTTACTATTTTATTTTTTTGTTGCCATCATTGGATTTAATTCCTCCCGCCACCCCCCTCCCCCCACACACTTTGATGGGTGTCTGTCTTTGAGGGGGTTCCTAATAATGTGGTCCTCCCCCTCAAAGGGCCATCCAAGACATTTTTTTTTGAGACGGAGTTTTGCTCTTGTTGCCCAGGCTGAAGTGCAATGGTGAGATCTTGGCTCCCTGAAGCCTCCACCTCCTGTGTTCAAGCGATTCTCCTGCTTCAGCCTCCGGAGTAGCTGGGATTACAGGCGCCCGCCGCCATGCCCAGCCAATTTTTTGTGTTTTTAGTAGAGATGAGGTTTCATCTTGTTGGCCAGGCTGGTCTTGAACTCCTGACCTCAGGTCATGTACCCGCCTCGGCCTCCCAAAGTGCTGAGATTACAGGCATGAGCCACAGTGCCCGGCCCATCCATGACGTTTTAAACAGTAGCTCCCAAATATTAGATGTGAATAAATGTTTAGTGCACTGTGGTTGGTCATAGTAGGGAAGAAATGTTAATGCCAGTTTTTCGTTTTAATACTAATTAAGGATAAGAAGGCCTAACATTTACATGTTTAGATAGGTGTTTCACCTGTTTTCTCATTTTACAGGAACTCGAGGTTTGTGGTAGTTCCATTTTAGTGTATGTAGCACTCTCCCCTTTCCCCTTATGGATTTCAAAGAACTTAAGTCTTGTAACTTCCTTATTTATATGGTCTAGCTTCACCATGTTTCAAAGTGGGGTTAGCTTAAAAATAGCAGTATGGAGTCAGAGAGTTGAGGAAGGGAAATATATTTGAAGATTTAGAAAAATACTTTTTTTTTTGTTTAAACACAAACACAATACATAATACTGTTTTTTTGAATGCAGTTTCTGTGAATGTTGTAATATTTGCTAATGTGTAGTAAACATTTTGTTATTGCAAATAAGCATATGCTGAGAAGTAGTTCAATAATGATTGTTTTCCATTAAATTATGTGTTACAAATTACAAAAATTAAAAAGGAATTCTAGTTAACAGGATTAGGAGAAAAGGATGTTTTCGATGTTTATAGTCAATTTGGCTTTTAAAGGTGTTTATCTTTGGACTTAATCCACCACAACTTTCTCTGCTAAATTTAAAGGTATCTTTGAAACATTGAATTATTAATTCCATTTGCTTTGTAAGGAATCAAAATTTAGCTCTAAGAATAATCAGGAATGTTTGTCAATAAGATATTTTGATAGTTCACCTTAAAATATTTAAAATAGTCTGGGCTCCATGGGTCATGCCTGTAATCCCAGCACTTTGGGAGGCCAAGGCGGGCAGATGACTTGAGCTCAGGAGTTCCACACTAGCCTGGCCAGCATGGCGAAACCCCTGTCTCTACAAAACAACAACACCACAAATTAGCTGGTCATGGTGGCACATGCCTGTAGTCCCAACTTGGGTGAAGGGGTGTAAAGGAGGGGGCAGGTGCTGAGGTGGGAGGATCTCATGAGCCAGGAACGTGGAGGCTGCACTGAGCTGCACCACCACACTACACTCTGGCCTGGGCAACAGTGCAACCCTGAATCAAAAATACTGAGACAGGTACTTGCTGTCGGCAGGTCACCACGCCGGGCTAATTGTTTGTTTTGTTTTGTTTTGTTTTGTTTGTGGAGACAGGATTTCGCCATGTTGCCCCGGCTGGTCTTGAATCCTGAGCTCAGGTGGTCTGCCCACCTCCCCTCCCAAAGTGCTAGGATTACAGGCCTAAGCCATGGTGCTTGCCCCAAATTAAATGTTTAAAATATGAAATACTTACCTTTTATGGCTTGCTAAGGCTCAGGTTTTTCCAGACTGAATTTTATCACCCCCATGTTTTAATTTTGTGGAGATCATTGGTTTGAAAACAGGAAGATGCCAGAGACTTTAGGAATACAGATTTTTGTGAGTTGTGGGTGTGTGTCTGTAGTCCTAGGTACTGGGAAGGCTGAGGCAGGAGTGTCTGTTGAGCTCAGGAGTTCGAGGCTGCAGAGTGCAATTACTGCACCTGTGAATAGCCACTGCACTCTAGCCTGGGCAACAGTGTGAGACTCTGCTCCAAAAAAAAAAAAAAAAGAAAAAGAAAACCCTGATAATATAGATTTTTAATCTGCAAACTGTGGATGAGTTTCAGCTATGAAAATCCCAGACTTTATGCAAGACATGTATGAGTTGTTTTTGTCATGTCTACCCACCCTACCATAATTTCTCAAAGGAATTGACCTTTCACTTCTGTGTTAAAAATTAGTGTGTCAGAAGATCCTTTAATTGTGCAGGAATTATGTGGTAAATTTCTCTTATCATGAGTTAAATGATATTTAGGCTCAAGAATTTATTTTTTTTAAGTGCCCCCTGTGCTAATTTTGTGGGAAAAAAATAATTTCTATTTAAACATCATCCCTGTGATGAAAGTTTAATCCCATGACCACTACTTTCAATTCTGAAATGATGAAAGACTGAAGTTCAGGTTAGAATACAGAATTTCCTCAGAGTCAGTGGGTGAGCAGTTAACCGTAGGAGAATTACCAGAGCAAGCTATTGCAGTTGCTGCTGCTCTAAGATGGTGGCACTTGTAATGATTTAGCATTTCTTCCTAGTGAAAAGGGTCGCAGATTGAACTGCCTAAATCTGTGGATTACTTTGGGACTGCATTGATTGCTGGAATGCAGCAGTTTTATGTGAGCTGCATATCTATACTCAGTATTTAAGAATGATCACTGTTTGGAGGTCATTCTGGTAGGATCTTGTTCTATTTTTTTGTTTCCTTTTTTGTTTCTTTGAAAAGGGGTCGTGAGACAGTGGCAAGTGCATGACCCATTCTTTACTTTAGTTCAAGAGGGCATTTTAAAACATAGCAGATTGTTGTTGTTGTTTAAGACTGAGTCTCTCTTGCCCAGGCTAGAGAGTGCAAGGACAGGATCATAGCTTACTGTAACCTCGAACTCCTGGGCTCAAGTGATCTTCCTGCTTCAGCCTCCTAAGTAACCAGGACTACAGGCATGTGCCACTATGCACACCTAATTTTTAAATTTTTTGTAGGGATGGGTGGGGGGGTGTCAATATGTTGTCCAGGCTGTTCTTGAACTCCCGGCCTTTAATGATCCTGCTGCGTTGACCTCCCAAAGTACTGGGATTACAGGGGTGGGCCACTGTCCTGGCCAGGTTCTTTTAAATTTTAAGTACTTCAAACAAACACAGTCCCTTTACCATTAATCACACCTCAAAAAAGTTAACAGTTAATCTTTAACATAATGAAATACCAGTCAGTGATCTATTTTTTTCAGGTCCTTTGTATTGCTAGTGTATTACAATGTAGCCTTTCCCCCATGATCTATTTCTCTTGCTGCTCTGAATAGGCTAAGTGGGAAGATGTAGGACCAGATATGTAGGTTTGAGATATGTCAGAAGAGTAATTTCAGTTTAATTTCTGGATTTACCTTAGTTCATAAATTTAGAGGATTCTGTTACCTTTAATTGTCTTTAGGATACCTAAATTCTTAGTATTTTTTGTCTTTGGGATCCTTTCGGATAGATTAATCTTTAAACTATTCCAGGATGCAGGCTTTCCAGAATCAATTTAATATCCACTACATTTTTCTGTTCTATAAAGTGAACTCCCATCTCCGTTTTATTTTACTTCCAATTTTGTATTCAGTGTGGGTATTTTGTCTAACTACAGGACTTTTTGTAATTTCACCAACATCTGGTAGTAGACATGGGTTAGAAGAGAAAAGTAGAAAAGGTAGAGGGCATAATACAAACATGTGAAATTTGTTTTTAGTTTGTATATTTTTCCTTTGTCAACAGTTCAGGATAGGGAATTTATGGGAAGCAGCTATAAAACACTGCATTTGTCTTTTATTTTCATCTACCAGGGAATCTGTCTCTGCTTTTCCTTTCCTATTATCATTTTCTAGTGGGAGTTCTGGTTAATTCTGTCAGTCAGGCTGTATTTTTTTCTTTTTACCTTGTGAAAGTCCTTTAAAGATGTAGCATACTTAGTGTTTTAAAGGAAGGAAGTCTTTCACTAACCCCTTTCTGCTCATATGAGAACCCAAGATCTAAATATCTTGGTAACTATTGATATTTTGGGCTGGATAATTGTTTGCTTGGGGAGCAGTCTTATGCATTCCAGGATGTTTACAGCATCCCTGGCCTCTATGCATTGGATGCCACTAGCACCCTCCACAATTATGACAGCCAAAAATGTTTCCAGACGTTGCTAAATGTTTCTTGCGGGGCATGGTGACCCTGGTTCAGAATCACTGATTTAGGTCTCCTGTTAAACTGTCTTAAAACACTGTGCTTTTTCTTCCAGTGATCATAGCAATTTTAAGTAATTTTAGTAGTCTTTACCATTAGACGATAAGCTCTATGAGGACAGTGACTATATTTCCTTTGTTTCATGTCCTTGGTTCATAGCACGGTATCCTAATACACAGTATATATGTAAAGTAAAGATTTTTTTTTTTTGAGACTGGGCCTTGCTCTGTCATCCAGGCTTGAGAGCAGTGGTGCCATCAGGGCTCACTGCAACCTCTGCCTCTCTGCCTCAAGCATTTCTCCCACCTCAGCCTCCTGAGTAGCTGGGACCACAGGCATTCACCTCCATGCCTGGGTAATTTTTGTGTTTTGAATAGAGATGGGGTCTTGCCATGTTGCCCAGGCTGGTAGGCGGGTATAGAACTGGTCTCAAGAGATCCACCCACCTTGACCTTTCAAAGTGCTGGAATTACAGGTGTGCCACCGTGCCTGGCCGCTAAGTAAAGATTTCTTGAATGAATGGATGCAATCCTAGGTAGCTAAATGACCTTGGCTACGGTAGTTAACATTTCTGAACATCTGGTTATTACTTTGGGGAGGAGAATTGGGGAGGGGAGTAGTCCATTGAAGATTCCAGTTAGTTTAGATCCATTGTGAGTTTTATGTTGTCTAGTAATTATGTTATTTTCATGTCTGATTTTGCTCTGTTTTTCTGTTTGAAATGACATATAGAAGTTTTTTTCTTACATTAAAAATAGAATACATGGATAATTGAAACTGATAACGGTTTTGAGAGACTGCATGATTTGAGAATGTTAAATACACATCATTAAATATAAAAGAAATTTTGGGCACGATGGAAATGCATGTTTCGTGGAGTTCAGTTATTTCATTCTAGACTAGCATGGAGTTTGTTACAGTAATTTTGATTAACATTTAGGGAACTTTATAGCCCCAGTGTCCTAAAGAGTCATATTCTGTGATCATTTGCTTGCTGTTTTTTTGAGATGGAGTCTCGCTTCTTCGCCCAGGCTGGAGTGCAGAGGCGTAATCTCGGTTCACTGCAACCTCCGCCTCCTGGGTTCAAGCAATTCTCCTGCCTTAGCCTCCCTGCTAGCTGGAATTACAGGCATGTGCCACCACACCCGGTTAATTTTTGTATTTTTAGTAGAGCCGGGCTTTCACCATGTTGACCAGGCTGATCTTGAACTCCTGACCTCAAGTGATCCACCCGCCTCGGCGTACCAAAGTGCTGGAATTACAGGTGTGAGCCACTGTGCCTGGCCCGTTTGCTTCTTTTTCAGAAGGGGTATAGGTGGCTTAGTGATAATATTACTACTTGTATGTACAATTTCAGATACCTGTTTCTAAGGCCAGTTATGCTGTTTTGGACAACTTCTAACTCATATGGTGTGAAAGAATGTAATCAACCTTGACCTTGAACACTGGCTGAGCTCCTGAACTTTTAAGTGAGCTCATTTTGTCTGGTTTTGTTTTCTCAACATCTTTCTCTACTCCTCTCTCTCAGGATTGTGCCTCTACTCCTGCTTGTACAGACTGCTTTTCCAGCAGCATGGACACAAGAAGCATAGTAAGATGATGATAACCCACATAAGGCAGGCCCTTTGGAATATGTTAGGTTTCAATTGGTAGTGGAATAGTATATTTGATTATATGGTTAGTACTTGGGAAGCAGAATGAAGTTTGTCACTTAGAATAGATTGGTAGTCTTAAAAGAGAGCGTCTAGGGAATAAGTTGAATTGCTTCACAAAAAATAGGTTAATTGGAGAAAAAAGTTTTATGCTCAATAGTGAGCATAAGTCATGTGTAAACTTTTGTTGTGTTTACTTGTATTCTGCTCCATGTGATTTTACAAAAGAAATAGAACTATTTGAGTGAATTGCAGACCTCTTAATTTAATAATGTACCTCTTAAAGAATTTCTTTGAACTATAAAATGACAGATTATTGACATATATGCTATAGGAATAAACAAAGACTAAATCGAAATTTTGATTTTCTAATTATAGAGGCAGCAGATTGTGGTAGAGGTACTATTGGTTATGAGAAATAAATGCTGATGAGAACTGTTTTTATAGCTTGTGATTTCTTACCTAAATGGATTCTGTCTCATATTTGATGGTAAACATGATGCATTTACTTCTTCTGATTTTGATTATATGCATTTGTTTCGTCTTTCTAATTTTGTTTTATAAGAGTTTCTGATACAGCCATCCTTTAAACTTAAGGAATGCTATGTAAATGTATTAAAATACCTACTATAGGTCAGGAAAAATCTCAGGAACTTTGACATTTATTTATTTAGTCAGAATGGGGACTAGGTTGCTCATGTTCTCTAAAGACAGTTTTGACTATTAAGTTGATGTATGCCAAATTTGTTTTTAAAATAATTCTGCAACTTAATGTAATTTATATTGATTGACTTGAAAGACCTAGGATTTCATTCTTTTATGCATGTAACTAATATTTAATGAACATGTATTGTGGCTTAGGGATTTTTTTTCCATCTCCTGGGTTATAGTGGCAAACCAGACAAGCAGAAATCATGCCCTTTTGGAGCCTGTGTTGTTGTGATCCTTTTCCTTTTGTCTTGTTACCAGTTTGTGTATTGAACTTGCTGCAGAGCTGGAGAGGCTGTGCAGGCACTACTGACTCCAGCATCGGTTCTTTGCTAAGGGCTATGTTGGTTGCAGCCTGATCTGTTCTTAGCATTTTGCCTCTTAGAGTCCAGATTGCCTGTCCACTGCTCAGAATAGAGACTGAGCAGGTAGACTTAGTTAAATGATTTTTCAAACAATGGGAAAATATGACTAGCTACATTAAGTTTTATACAAAATTGTCTGTTATATATGTTTTAAAATCTCCATTTGATATTTTGGAATCTTAACTATTTCTTATACAGATTTAAGGATGTTTTGTCAGCGAGAATCATTAGTCTCCACATGCATATGATTTTAAAATGCAGCTATTGTTAAGTGGAGACCAAAGCCTTATGAATTTAGAAGAACAAACTAATAAGTATCTTCATTTTTAAAGCAAACGTTTAAGTATCTGAGAAAATTGATGTCCCTTTTATAAATATTTTCTGAATTTGATGTGATTCCTCAGGGTTCATTTGAGTAACTTATCAAAGAAAGACAAAATACTTTGCCATGTACTTTAGTGTGTAGAACTTGGGAAATAATATAACGATTTCTATACAGTGATCAATGTCTCAAAGGTTGACCAAGTCCTAGTTAATGGCTTTCTTTGATGTAGCAATGTTTTTGATACCATAAAGTTTTATGGTCAAGAAAAAATAGGCATAAGTGTTTGAATTTGTTGAAATATTTTAAATATATGAGTAAAATCCTCTGGAGTAAAAAAAAAAAATTTTAATCTTTTTTGCCCTTTGAGTTTTGAGTAAGTAATTTTGTTTTTTACAAATCAAAACATTATGTAGCAAATGTCTAGTTTCTGTAACAACTGCTCACTATGACAAAAATCTGTCTTACATATTTATGAAGTACTTTTAATTTGCCAAACATTTGTTAGAAGTTACCACTTTGCTGGGCACAGTGGCTCATGCCGGTAATCCCAGCAGTTTGGGAGGCCAAGGTGGGTGGATTACGAGGTCAGGAGTTTGAGACCAGCCTGGCCAACATGTTGAAACCCCGTCTCTACTAAAAATATAAAAATTAGCCAGGTGTGGTGGTGTGCGCCTGTAATCCCAGCTACTCAGGAGGCTGAGGCAGGAGAATTTCTTGAACCAGGGAGAGAGAGGTTGCAGTGAGCTGAGATCACGTCACTGCACTCCAGCCTGGGCGACAGAGCAAGACTCTGGCTGGGTGGGGGTTGGGGGAGGGAAGTAAACCACTTTTTCAAAACATCTCATGTACACAAGTATGTGTGCCTACTGTATACTTACAAAAATTAAAAAGAAAAAAGGTAGATATTAGAAAAAAGTGATCCACTTTATAATATGCAGTGTTTTATACTCTGCGCTCTTTTCTGCAGCCATTATCATGTTTCCGTGGATCTTTGGTTTAACTCTGTGATAATGGTTAGATAGGGGTTATCCCATTTTACAGATAAGGAAACTGAGGCCGAACAGTTGTGATTTTTCCAAGGAAATGCAGTTCTGTAAGCATTAGAGCAGGGATTAGAAGGACCTAGTTCTCAATCCTTAGTGCTAGATGTAAAGGAGAACCATTGTTCAATTTTTCATAGGTTTTTTTGGTTGGTGGTTTTGTTTTTACTGGTGTAATGTCCAAATACAAATTTATTTTCTCATTTTTAATTTTTATGACTTCACATTCATAGAAAAATAGTAAGAATGATGAAGAAGTTTTGTGTATACTTCATCCAGATTTCTCTACCTCCTGTAACCATATTTGCTTTCTTTCTCTCTCTTCACATGCAAATGAAAATATAATTTCTTTTCTGAACATTTTGAGAGTAAATTCCAATTCATGGTACCCCTTACCTCTAAATAACTCTGTGTATATTTTAAAAACAAGCACATTTTATTTAACTGTAGTACAATGATCAAAATCAAGAAATTAACTTTGATACAGTACTGTTGTCTGTAGATCATATTCAGGTTTCACTAATCATACCAGTAATGTCCTTACTGGAGTAAATTCTACATCACACCTTAACGTTCTCTTGTCTTAGTCTCCCTTAATGTGAATTGATTGGTTACTCCTCTTTTCTTGTATGACCTTTGAGATGATATTTGATAAAAATAGGCCAGTATTTTTAGAATTGCTTTAATATTGATTTGCTGCTGCTTCATGATTAGGTTTGGGTTCTATATTTTTGGCAGGAACACTCCAGGAGTAATATTGTATTCCTCTCAATGTACGATATCAGGAATCATGTTATCCATGTATTCCATTAATAGGGATGTTGAGCTTTTGTTTATTATTATTTTTTAAAGAGACAGGAATCTTGCTCTCTTGGTCAGGTTTGAGTGCAGTGCTGTGATCATGGCTCACTGCAGCCTTGAACTTTTGGGCTTAAGCAGTCCTTTGACCTCAGCCTTCTGAGTAGCTGGGACTACAGGTGCACACCAACATGCCTGCCTAATTTTTTAGATTTTTAGTAGAGAGGAGGTCTGGCTATGTTGCTCAGGCTGGGTGCTAATTTTTATCTGCAGGTTTCCCTACTGTATAGTTACTGTGTTTCCTTTGTAACTATTAATAGTATCTTCTGGGGAGATACTTAGATGCAAATATCTTGCTACTCGTCAAATTTTTACCATTTGTTTTAGCGTCTTCTCTGTTCTTAAATGAATCAGAACTAATGGTGATTGCCCAGTGGTGGTTTTCTGAGTCTATCATTTTTGTATTTATTAGTTTGCATTCTCTACAAGCTTTCCTATTTATATATGTAGGTGTATATTATATTAGTATGAACTCATGGTTTTTTTTTTTTGTTTTTTTTTTTTTTAACAACAGAGTCTCACTCTGTCACCTGGGCTAGAGTGCAGTGGCATGATCTTAGCTCAGTGCAGCCTCCACGTCCCAGGTTCAAGCGATTCTTGTGCCTCAGCCTCCTGACTAGCTGGGGCTACAGGCACACAACACCATGCCTGGCTAATTTTTGTATTTTTAGTAGAGTCCAGGTTTTGCCATGTTGACCAGACTGATCTTGAACTCCTGGCCTCAAGTGATCCACCTGCCTCGGCCTCCCAAAGTGCTGGGATTACAGGCGTGAGCCACCGCACCCAGCTAAACTCATGCATTTTTTTATTATTAGTTGAGTTATCTTTATACTTTGATTGTCTCAGTTTTGACTAGGCAAGCTGGCTCCTTTGTCCTTTAGACAAGTACTCGTTATTTTTTGAGTTGTCTTATTCTCTAGTGTAATAAAATACTCCCGCCCCAGCCTGGGAATCAGCCATTTCTCTAGTTTCTTTGAGTTTATGTATATCTATCACTAGATAGAACTGTAAATTTTATATATATGTACATACATTCTTTCTCATCTGTTTTGTATCTGTTTATCTAAAAAGCCATGAATTCATCATCATATCTTCAATTCCAGTCAAATACAGTAGGGTTCATTCTAGCTTTCCTTCTTTCCAAATCTGTAATTTCTTTCTTTGACAGCAAGAAACCTGGCTTTTGTTATCTACAATATATTTACTTATTATTTGTTCATTCCTGAAATACATAGAAAGTAGTTTCAGAATTGCTAAAGCCTATATCAGAAAACAAACCTAGTAATTAGAGTTTAATATTTGTTTGTAATTCATTTTTTGTTTTTGCCTAAGGTTATGTAGTTAAAATACTATGTACAAACATTACTTGGTTAGTTTTTTCCCCCACTTAAAGTGGTTTTGCTATTAATTTGAAATACAGTTAGGTTCAAGTTTTTCTGTTTGTATTCCATTTTGACTTTTTTCCTCTTTTCGTCCTTGTCCTTGTTTGCTATTTTTTTAGTATGTGAAACATTAAAGATAAATTAACTTTAATCATTTACTTTTTCCTAGCTTCAACGTCATAACTACTTACGCTCTGATAAAAAACCAAAACAGCAAAGCATTTATTTAACGTTCTTCAGATAACATTCTGAATTTCAGGG